TTTGTTGCGAAGTGTGTGTCCCAGCATCTTTTCCCATGGTCTGCTGCTGCTTTGGGCCATCGGGCCTGTCCTTTGGACTCCTGGTCTGAATCAGGACTGACTCGTGGGATTATGACTGGTCTGGGACTGTGGTCTTTGACTCATTGTCGAACAGACACGACTTTTCATCGAGGAGACATGACCCTAACTCAGTCTTGAAAACTGTGTCCAATACCTGTTCGTTCAGGACCTGTTTGTGACCTTTCAAAACGACTTTTCATCTCTAAAAGGGGCCTTTACCCGTCAATACACCATTCAGACCCTCTAAAAGAGAATCAGCGTTAAAGGGGTGAAAAGGGAACCCCGTGGAAGGTTCAAAATACAGCGTCCAAAGGTAAAGCACTTTGAACAGATGCGAATGGGACCCAGCCAGCAAGTCAACAGACGAGTAGACAAACGAAAAGTCACCTCTGGGGGTCAAAAGTCACATCTCTGAAAGAAAGCAAAGGTCTGTCGAACAGTCAACATGCATCTGCACACGAAGCTACAGAAAGGGAATGTATGTAAAAGAACTTGCATTCATTTGAGGGGGAAATGCAGAATGTCTGTTCATTTTGGGAATGTCCCTGTTCGCTTAGATTTGTGTCTGGCCGTGGGTACAGCTAACTAAAAGTGTCCCAGTTCTGTCTTAAGTCTAGAGGGCAGTCCAGATTCAGGCCTGTCAGTCCAAAGGCTAGGCCGATGGCCTCAAATTCAAGCAGTACCTCGTGGGAAAAGAGATGGGACTAATTCAATGCAGATCTGGGCCAGGCCGAAGTACCAATTCAGAGGCTGAAGCTGCTCACCAAGATTATAAAAGAGGCAGTGAGCCTCCTGGAAGCTCATTCCCCACTGGCGTGGAAGTGCTGGCCATTTGTGCGCTAGAGTGGGAGGTGAAGTCAGCACTGGAAGCAAGAAGTGGCGCAGGAAGAGAGTGAGGGCGCTGGCTGGCTGAATGCAGCCATAGCTGCCCTGTTGAGATAGGATGTTAGTCTACTAGTTGGTGTTCAATCTGTGAGTGTATTCTGAACGAGATCTTCATGAGACAAGAGAGATAATGTGCTCATGAGAGAGAGGAAGAAATAAGGAGGAGAGAGAGAGAGGAGAAGATGCCACTTACCTGAGTAATGCTGTACTTCGACATGGTGATGTTGCTGCGCTGGTCTCCATATTGATGGGATGATGAACA